TTCGTCCACTTAAAACGGTAGTCATATACATTTGATATATGTATAATACGTATGATATATGTGTATAATATGTATGGACAGATCGGTTGCGACACTTTTTTTTATCTATAGGTTTCTAACATATATATTATATTTAATACACATAATAAATATTTTGTAGATATCTAATATATTTTGCAAATGCGAACCACGATGTACTATCTTTAGTCTAGAGACACCAATCGCATTTGTAAAATATTAGTGCGTTTTGAAAATCTATATAAATAAAAAGTGTCACATATAAACCGAACTATCCACGATTGTACCTTGAAAAGAAAAGGAACAATAGCAATCAATACGAACTCATAAACAATTAAATGTTATCTCTTTTTACACACGAGCGAAAGACAATAATTAATCGTGTTTCACCTTTTTTCTTTTTCAATCCTCACTAATCGCAAAATTAAAAAAAAAACACGAACTCTACTCTGTTGTCCTTTTTTATTGATTCTGAATTTTCAGAGAAATGCGCAGTTTCTATAGATCTGAAGAAAATCGGTAGTAAACAGCAATCTCCCGCGGCTTTCGATAAAAAGGTCTATAAATCTCTGTTCAAAGGTCGCGGCGCCGCCCGAAGTATATCCGTTGAATTACTCAAGGGGACACCCTGTATATGCGATATGGCGTGTACCTATATATACAACAGTGTACGATAGCGACGGTGGACGGTAGTGTCGGTTGGTGTCGGTAGTGTTGTTTGACGTCTCACACGGCATACGCGAAGATTAGCGACGTTACGAGAAAGGAGAAATCGGCCTTTTTTTTTCAGCATTAACACTGATACTGGACCTGTCGCGAGTGCGACTGTCGGTGGATCATTATGGATCAGGAGGACGTTCTGACGATACTGAAGATCCTCATGATAGGCGAATCCAACGTGGGGAAATCGAGGTATGTAATGTAACATGCAAAGTGCAACTCATTCCCGTTTACCAGACGAGATGAGTAATTGGCGGCGCACTGCTACACGTCGTTTCCAGCATCCTCCTGAGGTTCACCGAGGATGAGTTCTACGAGAACATGCAGAGCACGGTCGGGATGGACTACAAGACCAAGCAGATCACCATCGACGGCAATTTGGTGAAGCTCGCGATTTGGGTTTGTACTTTAACCGTCATCGGGTGCCTTTGTTTTCGTGACTTTGTTTTTTTTTTTTTTCGCGACGGGAGGATAACACGTAATCTAACGCAATATATTACGGATATACTCATCAAAGCGCTCGCTGTTTACAGGACACCGCCGGCCAGGAGCGATTTCGCACTCTAACGCCGAGTTATTACAGAGACGGCCAGGGCGCGATCCTGATGTACGACGTTACGGATCGAAACACCTTCGTAAAACTGGAGACGTGGCTCAATGAGTTAAATACGTATTGCAATAAAACGGACATCGTCAAGATGGTAGTGGGCAATAAGATAGACCTGCCGAATAGAGAGGTGAGCACCGAGGAGGGCCTGCAGTTCGCTAGAAGGCATCAGACTCTGTACATTGAGAGCAGCGCAAAAACGGCGGACGGTGTGAGGTGTTGCTTTGAGGAACTTGTACAAAAGGTATGTCAAAATTTTACCTTTAAACCACTATATCGGTCTCATAGACCGCTATTGAAACGTTACTTGTCAACAATTTTCTTATTTGTCACCATTTAAATATACATATTTTATTTCTATTGTATATTAGATTTTTTTGTTAACCCTCACATTAAAACATATATAGTTTTCCTTTTCCCCATTCAACAAGTGTTCATGAAACATGCATTTTTATTATGATTAACTTATAAAATTAATAGGAAAGCATAATAGCGATTTGCTAGACCGACATTGTGGTTAGTGTGATTTTTTTGCCTGTGGTGGTTTAAAGGTTAAATTAATAGCTGTTATAATTTTACATAAGGCCCGTTCCTCGTCGTTATGGATAATAATTGCACTGAAATTTTCCTATCTCGATTTTGCCAAATTTTAAATATGTACCTATTTCATTTTAAATATGAGTGTACACTAGCTAGCTCACACATTTATGAGAAAAACATAGTGGTAGTGGCTATAAAAGTGATAACTATGCATGTTTTATATAAAATTACATAACTGAATGAACTATTTTAAAGTTTTATATATACTAAATATAAATATAAAGAATAGGGACAACTATAAAGGTGAAACTATATATATTTATATGTAGAATTATATAGTTGAATAAACTATATATGTATACAGAGTATCTCGAAATTCGTGAATTAAAATATCATACCAAGGTTTTAGAAAAAATTAAGTAAAAATGTTATTTGTAAATTTTTAATTTTAGTAGGTTTTGGGATATGAGTTTAAATTTAGCCAATTATAGATTACGATTAAACGGAAACATGTCCGTGAGCGCGTCGATAGTGTTAGTGGTCGCGCATTTCACGCGAGTACTAATCTATAATTGGCTAAATTTAAACCCTTATATCTTAAAAACTATTGCTTAA